GTACGGATCATGAAACAGAAAAAGAAAACAAGCTAGGGCGCAATATCTGGTAATTTTGTTTACATGCTGTTACTTTCTAACGCAGTTTTATAAACACGTTCACATACACAGGAAGGCGGCTTGACAAAAAAGTCGACTCGACCAGTGCGTAAGGTCGATAGTCTCTATGGTGGCCGGCTTTCAAATATTAAATAGCGCTTAAAAGAACTTTTCGCTGTGACTTTATCTCTAGCGTGATTTGTTTTGTTAAGACTTATTCATCAGATAGCGCTGTATCCGGTGGATAGCGTTGACCAGTCTTCGAACAATTGCCGTCCTGGTGAGTTCTGCCAAGGCCAAGTGGAAAATTTCTACTGTAGCTCGAAGGGACAGTCCCGCATCCCATCATGCAACTCGATACCAGATGCTTTCAAAGTTAGGGTATAGCGGCAATTCCAGCCATTTCTGTGTCTGTCGGCGGCGCGATTGGTAGCGTGAACGTTACCGTGTTTTGAACAGTTTAGTCTGAACAGTTTCATCGTCAGTGATAAAGAAAAAAGACTTTTGTTAAGTCTCAAGCCATTGGTTTATTTGTAGGATTCGCAGTTGCATTTATAGCCTCGTCGGTGAGTATATTCAACTGGTATTTCACTTATTGACGTGAATCAGCCCTATTTATTTAGAGTCCATTTGTACCGCTTGCATGCAATTGCTTCGTTCTGACCGTTCTGGGCAGAATATTTCATTCGCAGTTCCTCGATGTTTCCAAGTCTGCTTACATCCTAAAGTTTTCTCGGTTATTTAATTCCTATATGTCATGTTTTAGAGGTTTAACATTAATTAAAAATGCACATGGCACGAAGTCCGTAAGTGACGTATTTCACAGGTTGCCTGTAGGACGATCACGTGATTGGGGAGCATGTCATTGTATGTTTGGTTTGCGTTTGCGATCGTGCTTCACGCAACAGTAGCTAGTAGGCGGGTTTGCGACTTTTATGTTGACATTAAAAGCCAATATCTATTTTCTACGCTCTAAACAGAGACAGTTGTTTCTTTAAATAGCGTTTCAATAGTTTTGACGCTTTCAACGAAAGTACAAAAATAAACTGACTATGAAAAGAATTTATGTGAATCATGGTATTACTAGCGAAGAGTCCTTACTAAATGCTCGAGTTTGCCTTGCACAATGAAAGTTCCTAATCCGTCGAAATTTTCGCAAGTTCAAGATATTTAACCTTTAGAGGCATTTACCCTGAAACCCATGTTTACATGCTGTTCAATTCTAGACTGACACCATCACTATATAATTAGCAGCTTGATAAAAACAGTTTCCCTGTGACTTGATCTTTTGTTTTCGATTGTCAATTCTCGGCTGAGGCCGTTGGCCGTACACTGCGAGACTTCGCCCCGTCATTGCAATTACTAAGTCGAAGGGAACACCTTTAATTTGAACCAGCAGAGCCCGAAACAGCTTCGTTCGATCCATAAACAAATCTGCAAAACAACGTGCTTTTTCCTGTTAGAAAATTGTGACTGTAAGCTGCGTAGGAGGTTCTGGAGGCATGTCACTTTTCATGACTTTCCAGCTGTCTCTTTCCTATTCTTTCCACATGTACAATC